GAGAATTGAGCACTAGTGAGCTGAATGGGTTATTTAAAATAAACTGATATTGTTTAATATCTCATAAATGGTTTCAGAACTAGTTGGAATTTTTGAATTCCTGAATTGCACTATATTTCATACTCTACTGATGTAAGACCTGCTTGTCAATAACCATAGCAGAGTATTTTAAGTCACAGAGCTCAGTTATACCTGCACATCATTTCCATGTTGTAAGGGCCTACAGGATTCGAACAGAGAGATTTATTGATAATTTTCCATTTTCTATACTCTTTAAAATAGGCACCAGAAAGTGGCATTTGTTGGTTGGAGTTCATTCCCGAGAAACTCTCTTAAGTGTGAATACATGCATGATTTATTTAAAGCAAAACAAAACAAAACAAAACAAAACAAAACAAAACAGTAATTGAGAACAAGAAGAAAGGATGTATGTGAGTGAGGAGAAAGGTTTTTATTGGTTAAACATACTGTAGTGTTGAACTTTTTGATGGAGGAGTTATAAAATTGTCCCCATTTTCTTATCTCATTGAACTTTTCACTAAAATTTCCTTGTGATTTTGATGAAGTGGTAACAGCAGGTTGCTTTTATATACTACACCCCGGGGGGGGGGCGGGCGCGCGCACGCACACACAGAGTGATAAAATGTTTAGGAATTGTTCATACACATTCTGTGGAGAAAAAGGTTTGGGCTACTTTTACATGAAAAAGGCTTCCATACAGTATGTGGTTGATAGAATTTTCTTCTTCCCTTACTGAGTTTTCTAAATATATTTTTACTTTGAAATTCAAAATATTGAATTTTCTTTTTATGAAGGACTAACATTTGGAAGGCTCTTAATTATGGTGGATTTTATCCACAGCATATATATCTCGGCCATTATCTGTTTTTGTAACCCTGGAATGGTTTTAATTAGATTCTTCATGGAACAATGGATTCAAATTTGCACTCTATAAAATTCATCAGATTTTATGCTACTAAAATAGAAGATTGTGGGATAGCAAAGATAGAAAATGTACATTTCATTTACTTGGTTTTTTACCCTTCACCTGAATAATATATTTCTTCCTTCTTTTTTATAACCTGGTTTAAGTACCATCCGCACTTTTCTATAGAAGTATGGACACCATTTGATATGTTGTTGCTTACAGTTTTAAAAATATATTCTTAAGTTCTTCTAATGAAGCGTAAGGTCCTGGAGATCTGAAAGTTTAAAGAAAGTACACATTAATTTATTGTTTGCCAACTAAAGAAGACAAAATGGACATTTTGAAACATGTTAAAATTTATTGGTTGACATCTGTCAGTGGTAGAATATTTTCTTGCTTGAGAATCTGTCTGTTTGAATGAAGGAGGCAATTATGCTTTGCCTTAATGGACTGCTGGTACAGTGCCATAAAAACCAATTAGCTGCTGAGTCAGTGTAAATAACCATGTAAGCTCTGTTTCAAATACTTTTTCTTTTTTAACAAAAAAGGTTGGAAGCAAATAGATAAATAAAGAAAAGCAAGCAAATCCATTTTATATGTCATCGTTCAGCTTTCTGTTGCATATGTTCTAAATGAAATGGTTTGCAATGTGAAGGCATTGCAACTATGGTACGGTGCAAGAATGATTGATACATGCAACAGCACTGTATTATGTTTGAATTACTATTTTTGCATGTAAAATTTAACACTGTTTCATCATGAATTCTCCTTGTTTTATAACTTTTTGTGCATACATTTTCTAAAACATATATATAGCCTCACTTATATATCTTTTGTTTGCTTTAGTTGGAATATTTATCAATGAAATTAATTGCAGATTAGACACATCTAAATTTAGTTGTTACAATAAAATGTATTTGAGTGCCATTAGGACAATTAGTGATCATTATAAGTATTCTAGATTTTGAGACTTTAAAATAATAAATGAATTTTAAACTTTCTAAGGAAGCTCTTCAGTTATATATGATAGTAGAATTAATTTGGCCACATTTGTGAATTAATGTCATTGATATTTCAATGCTGAATATGTCATTTTTTAAAACTTGTACTAAACAAATTAATTGGAAATGTAAAGGCAAAATTAGATGCCTTATCAATAAAACTTCCATAAGGGTATAAACATGTTTCTTCCAATCATCATTGAATTCCATTCATATAATATATTTTGCACAGGTAGAATACAAAGGGTGAATGAATGAATGAATGAATGACTACTGGTTTTCTTATTTTCAAGAACTTGAAATTATATTTATGAAAAGTAATCATATGAACTAGTTTTGCATCACTGTTTGCATTGAAAGAAATCTTCCAGATGCTAAGAATTTTTATTTTTTCTCATCATAGCTTTACATTATTTTGAGCTAATCTTTAACAAAATGAAACGATTCTTCATTGGCCTAGATTTGTAGAAAGTCATCTAGTCGATAGTCTTGCATCTATAGCTTGCTTTCACTGCATTTTCATTGATTACCTTTTAAACTTCTTAAAATCTAACTACAAGAAGGGATCACAGCAAAAAAAAAAAATTAAAAATGTGTCTCTAAACCATCAATCTATAACATTCTGATCAATAGTGTAACAGTGAAATGATTTAAATGTCCTTTGTTATATTTAGAGATTTTGAAAAAAGTACCCTTTCTCCAGACCTAGATAAATAATCCAGATGCCAAATCCATATTTTCTTCATACAATTTATTTCTTGTCTTCTGGGGTAAATCTGCCCCTTAGGAGCCAACAAACCTGGTGGAGGAGGGATATGTGAAAAATGACTAGAATGTAGTGAGATAGAGCAGAGGCACAGAGAAGAGAATGCCCTTGGATGTATAAAGAAAGATACAACTAACCTTACCTGAGAAAATAAAGTAAGGCTTCAGGAGGAGGCCATGCTTCAGTTGTCTTAAGACAACTAAGCCATGTTATTAATAATCACGTAAAATTATTACTAACCTAAATGGCCAATAATAGAGAATGATTAATTAATGATGGTTCATTTTGATAATTAAGTGTTATAAAGACATTAAAAATAACATCTCCCAAAATACTTAATAGTATTAGGACAACATGTATGGTATGATATTTGATATAAGGTATGCAACTCAAAATTCTCTATACAGTAAGACTTCAAAGATCGAAAATAAATATATATAAAAAATTAAATTTTCTTCCTTATATATTTTGTAAATAAACTTGTATTTATCTTTAGTGTGAACAAAATAATTTCTGCTTTTGGGAGGGAAAGAATTATAACTAAATTACAGAGGAATAATTACCTTCTGTGTGAGAGAGGAAGGAAGGGACAGTAACTTGGGGAATAACTGGGTTCAGAGGATTAGAAGCAAATCCAGAGATTGAGACAGGGAAGAGAACCAGAGGTGCATGGTAACGCATCCAGGGAAGAAGTGTTGTTAGCACTATCAAATGCTACAGGGAGTTTAAGAGCAATGATGACTGTGGATACCCATTGCATGTTGAGATGAGGAGGTCAGTGTGAACCCTGAGGCTGTTGAGGAAAGCCTGGAACTAAAGAAGGGTTTTGGAATCAGAAAAGACCAAAATGTAGGCATTTCTACTTAACCTTCTGGGGATATTTTGTTTGTTTTGATTTGATGTTCATTAAATGTTGCTGATACATATATCCTCATTCACATTCAGTTTTTACCAACATTCAATAAAACATGAACCAATGTATATGGCACATGTATAGTCAACATATATATATATAGTTGTTGTATTTATGTATGTATATAAATATGCCAATATAAACATGTATACCTAAATATATATTTGTATATATATATATTTTAATCCAGGCAGGAAAATGAAGCTCATGCTAGGTATTTTAACAGAGAGATTTAATATAAGGGATGAAATTAAGCAGTTGTGAAGGTGACACAGAGAACAGAAAGCTGCCTCCACATCCAGGTCTACAAAGATCTAAGAAGAAAAGAATGTTACACAAAGTCAGGAGGTGGCCCCAGCAGGAGCTAAAATTAGGAAGGAGATGAGACCACTGCTGGGGACATCCCCTGAGACAGAGAAAGGGAGACTATCCTGGCTTCTTGCTTCATCCTACCTTCAGTCTCCACCAGTGCCTCTCATTGGCCAAATTCCACAAAAATCAGTTGGCTAGTGAGCCTGGGATTATATGGTTCCCAAGAGTCAGCCTCTGGGATACAAAGAGAAGAGGGGAAGGGATGGGAAATGTTTATTACAGTGTTCACATGGATAGAAATGAAGCTGAGAGGCAACGTTTTTGATGGATACGATACTGAAGGAAATGTATTTGTGTGGTTCATAACTTAGTGGGTAAAATCATGTCTTTCTCTGAAAACACAACCATAGATTTATTTTCAACTCTGATTTTGGTGCATGATCAAAACCACTTCAGTTGTGTTTTGAATGCTCTTTGCTGCAGTGGTTTTCGCACGAAGTATTCAGAGTCCAGCCAGTCTTACCGAAAAGTACCTATGGTATTTAATGGATTGGAATTTAAGATTTACCTCATAAGAAGCTGCAAAATTAATTTTCTGGGCATAACAGCATTTTTAATCTATAATATGTTTTCTGTAGAGGAGATAAAAGGTTTATAAAACTTAATATTCAACAGCAATTTCCTTTGTGGAAGAGTTATAATTGTCTTTGAAACATGTTATACATCTGTTCAGTGTTATACATATTTCTCATACTGATATAAAGGTTATTTTAATGTACTTCCAAGTTAGTTTCTTACAGGTACTTTCTCTTTTATACAAAGTCCAGACTTAAATATTAATGGACCTGTAATGCCTAAAAATCAGGATATTTTTATTCATTTTATAATTGCCTTGTTTTTATTCCCAATCTTGCCCCACATTTAGGGCACAGCACAATTAATTTTAGTACTTATTTTTGAGGAAAAAAAGAATCACTCACGAAGAGCATCAACGTGGCTTCTTGACATGCATCCTGGGCTTGAATTAAACATCCCTGAGAGCTCACGTTTCCATTTAAAAATTGAAATTTTTCATTGCAGACGTTTGGAACAGAACTCAATCAAGGTCATCCCTCCTGGAGCTTTCTCACCATATAAAAAGCTTAGAAGAATGTGAGTGAATAATATTCTAGAATATATGTAATTTTAAAAATTATACAGGTCATGACCGTGCAGACATTCACTTAAGTATGAATATTTGAGTGTTTGACAGCTTAAATATTAAGTGATGTGACTATCCGATTGCTAGTTTTATAATACTGTGATGTTAAAAGCTAAACTATGTAATATTTTAACGTTCTCTGTAATTTAACATATTGATTCACACCCGCGTGAATTTATGTGATCAATATAGTATGCAGTCAAATCTTAGATGTTCTATTTTCAAAAATAAGACATGGCAGCTTTTATAATAATTTAAGAAAAGAGCCAGTAATTGATTTAAAAGTCTGATTTTTTTTTTTTAATTTAAGATGCTTCAGATGTTTTATGTTGCAAATTTTATACATGTATTAATAGGTGCGAAATTGACATGTAAAGGCAGTAAATAGCTTTCTCCTGCAGTAAATCCTCACTGACATTCTATTTAATTTAACCTAACCCTATTTCTAATCTTAGTGACCTGAGCAATAATCAGATCTCCGAACTAGCACCAGATGCTTTCCAAGGACTACGCTCTCTGAATTCACTGTAAGTATTGACCACGTCGCCAAAGGAAAGCAGAATAGGCAACTAATACTGGCTCCATCTTTTACAAATTTGGATTTAAGAAAAAATAACCCTTTAATTTTTGTCATGAATTATTAATAATATTCATTATTATTAATCTTAATGAATTTCATCATTTTCATGGAAGACTGCTACCTGTCACTAAAATCAGCCCATTTTTAAGGGTATATATTTTAGGATTTGATAGTTTTGCTATTTAGAAAGCAAGGGTAAGAGCCTCTAAATTATTCTGTATTTATATTATTATTACTGACACCTTTTTGTTTCTGAAATATAGCTGGAATGTGTATTTTGGAACATTCTGGTCATTGTTATATTTATAAGCCTCAAGCCAGCAGCCACTCTGTGCTGAGGGCAATATTAGTCCCCTCAGAACGATGCTCAGTGAGGTCTTATGGAGGGAACAGTTGAAGATGTGCAGTGAGAGGCCCCCTCAACTCCCTGCTTCATCTCCTTAAGACTTCCCTGAAAGAACCAGCTTTAATCTCTCAAAGAACAAAGATAATAAAAGTATGACAGCTTTTTAACATCAAAAGGACTTTCAGAGAAATAACTATATAAATTAAAATTATTGTAAAATAAATGGATAAAGGCTGCTATTCTTTCAAATTTGTAAAGGAATCTTCAGAAGTCCACCAAGTACAGTCAACTTGAGTTCAGATTGTAACTTTAAAATTTGAACATGGAGGCTGGCATGTATTTTCCTAAGAGTTGAAGCTTAGAGAAGGATTCTTATTGTTATCAATGACTGCAGAGCTCTTGAGAATTTCAGAAGGCAGTGGTGGCCAGCGGGAGGTCCATGATACACACGTGTAAGGCCCAGATAAACACCTAGGGCTCATGCAGCACTCCACACTCAGTCATCCCTGGGGAGGAATAGACAGAAGTGGTCATCCGGGCACATGGAGACCCAGGTTGCTGTGCTGGTCTACTCAGAAAACTACAGTTTTCTTTGAAGAAAGAAAATGGAATCTGCCTAGGTTCTTTTTTGTTCTGGATGTTAACCACCTCTGGAATTAACCAGAGGAAGTCCAAGACCTGGGGAACAATTGTCGGCAGAAAATGTAGAATGTAGACCGGTGTTGCTCTTAGACTGAGCTGGCAGATTCTAAAATAACAAAGATTAATGTAAAACTCCATTAAATTACTCAATCAGATGGCCCATGAATTACAGGGTATGCCACTCTGGACGGTCATATTGTCCAAAGTAAATAGAGACAACCTTCCATCCACACAAAAGGACAGAACAAAAGTCAAGTCATTGTACCAATCCCTGGTCCGTCAGGTATCTGTGCCTCAAAGATGAGTAGTAAAATGTCAAAAGAGAGAAATGATTGGAGAATTCTTATTAATAGCAGTTTTGCTGACAGTTCACTGTTAAGTTCTATTGTCTTAATGCTAATTGACACATTCTGGTTGTGAGAATTAAAATAACTGATAAAAAAGAAAATAAATTTAAAAAGTAATAGACCATAATTGTATATATTTATTATTATATATTTATAATTATATATAATATATAAGTTCTATGTACTTATTATATTATAAATTATGTTTAATATGACACTGTATTTATTAACTACAAAGATATATTTTATTGTATTATAAATAATGTATTTATGAATATTGTATTTTTTACATTATTGACATAGCAATGTTATATTAATATATATTATATTTATTAATAAACAGTTACAACTAATGATTATATTATAAATTATTATATACTTATCCATATAAATATAATAGACTCATAGCAAATAGTAAAAGAAATAAAATGTGTAAAGCAATGTACTTGCTGAATTGAGATTTTAATCTTCATGACCAGAACTCTCATGTACAGTTTTTTTCAGAAAGCCATAACAAAGCATGATCTTTCCTTATGGAACTGACTTTTAGTCAGCGAATTAAATCACTGGGGAATTCCTAGTTCAAAACCTAGTCATATACAGAAGAGTGGGACCTGTTTTCCAGAAATGCAACACCAGATACTACCCTATAATGTCAGAAAACAGACGTTTTTAGGGACACCTTGGGTGGCTCAGTCAATTAAGCATCAACTCTTGATCTCAGCTCGGGTCTCCATCTCAGAGTTGTGAGTTCAAGCCCCATGTTGGGCTCCATGCTGGCTGTGGAGCCTACTTGAAAAAAAACAAAAACACAAACATGTTTATCGAGAGAATCAAACAGCTGTGCTATCCTAGAGAAAGTCCATGTGCTGTAACTGGTAGCATTTTCCTCATTGTGTTCACATTTTGAATTGACCTTACAAAGATTAATTTATACCTCTTATAAAGTATACAACTGTCCAGACTCACAATAGCTTTTTTTTTTTTTTCCATTTCACCACAATCCTACATTCCACAGAGATGTGGGACCCTATTGTGTCCTAGGCCCTCTTCAAGGCCCTGGGGATACACAAGTGAACAAAATACAGAAACTCCTCTCTCATGGAGATGACCAATGGTAAACTAGATACTGGTCAGAAGATATAGTATATCTGATGATTAAGAGTGCTGTGAAGTAAGGGGTGCATGGGTGTCTCAGTCACTTAAGCATCTGAGTTTTGATCTCAGCTCAGGTCTTGATCTCAGGGTTGTGAGTGAGTTCAAGCCCCACATGGGGCGCTGCACTGAGTATGAAGCCTACTTAAAAAAAAAAAAATTCTCTGAAGGAAAATAAAGAAAGCAGAAGTGATAAGGAGGCCAATGGGGAGGAGAGCTGAAATTTTAAACAGGAAGGCCAGCAGAGGCCTCCCAAGAAAATGATATTGGGCAGAGACCTGAAGACTCGAATTGTAGGAGTGAGTTGTGCAGATACATGAAGAAAGAGCATTCGAGACCAAAAGAACAGCTAAACTCTAAGGCCCTGAGATGAGAGTATGCTGAGTGTTTCAAGAAAGAGCAAGAAAAAAATGTGACTGGAAGCGGGGCAGATGGTTGAAAATGAAATAATGCAAAGGTTGTGGTTATGGTTGTTGATAACAGCAAGGTCTAGGACACAACCATGAGGACAGAGGGACAAAACAGGTTGACAGACAACAGGTTTGTGGGAAAAGAATAGGGTTGGAGATCGTAATGTAATAGTGAGGGCTTAAGTCTTTGGAAAGGAGTACCGTGACGGGGGTTTGTGGGTAGCTGCGGAAGCCATGCAAATCAGCGACACTACCTTTTTTTTTTAAATCCAGTTTTTACTTCTACAGGCTTCTCTTACATGTCTTTCTAGAACATACTCAACTACATAGGCAGTTTAATTGAATCACTATATTTACTAAAGAAGCGAAAATAATTAAGGATGATATGATGCCAGATTTTATTAAATTAAAAAAAAACATTTTAAATTGTTATTTAATCACCAAAATAGTATACCTTAGAGAAAAATGAACCTGATTTATTAAATATTTTAAGGTCTCTCCTACTAAATAATTGCATTAGCATTTATTTTTATTAACATTAACATTATTTTATTACATGTTATGTTATACTATTAGTATATTTTATTGTTAATATAACATATATTGAAGACAAAAGAGCATTCAGAATACATGTGTCTATTGAATGATTTCATACTCAGGGCTTTTACTGCTGTCATTGTGACAACAACAGTATTTCTATAATATTTAACAATGATTTCTTAGGAATTCAACATATTAGTGTACTAGGCATTGTCTGTACACATCTTCTATTGTTTCCCATTTACTGGTTGGAAACATCATTTTATATCACAAAATAAAAAAGTGCTGTAGTAGCACAGCATAGTGACTAAGCATAGAGCCTTTAGCACACTAAGTGGCTGCCAGCACAGAGCCCGATGCAGGGCCTGAACTCACAAACTGAGATTGTGACCTGAGCCGAAATCAAGAGTCGGATGCTTAACTGACTGAGCCACCTCAGTGCCCTGGGACATTTTTTTTTTTTCTCTCTCTCTCTTTGGTAGTAACTGTCTTCTGCCAGATTTCAACAAGAGCAGGAGAATTCAAAGACTGGCCACCGGCTGTTGCTGTTTCCTACTATCCTACTCTCTTACTATTGAAACTCACTAGGGTGAAACTAGGCTTAGAATTCTTTGCCTTTTGTCTGGTAGCAGGTACAAGAGCTGCTTAAGGTTTCCTTAAGATTTCCCTATTGGTCCAATGGGCTATAAAGTAATTCTCGATCAGCATACTCGTATACTGGAGACGTATGTTGAATATAAGTGATGTGTAATAAAACCAGAGAGAAGTTACCCAGTTTGTCACTGCTCGTATTTGGATGACATTATCCAGACCCCTCAGGTATTTATTTTCCTTTCAGCTGAATTCATTTTCATCTTTCAATTTCTTTTAAAATTTTCTTTCCCTCATAGGAATGCAGCACAAAGTCTCACTGGCCTCCTTGCACTTTATATCTTTATGTAATGACATGCCTTTGTCCCATTTTTATGAATTTTGGCCTTATTTTCTTGATTCTCATCCAGCTTCTCTGTCCCGGTCTTTGGATTTTTTATATTTTTAAGTCATTTTTCCTTGCCACCATTTTGATCTCCCTGCGTATAAGAAAACTGTACCAGCTCTACTATTGCTATACCTTTCTGTAGAGAAATCTCATCCCGTAACATTTACTGTTTCTTTATGATAATATTTTATGATTGACAGTCCACATGCCCAATAATGACTACATAGATTTCCTTCATCCTTTTGTGATTCCCCCCATATTTATTTCCCTATGTACCCAAACTGTCTCATTAACAATAAACATCTATTTTTTTAACATGATCTTAAAGAAAACAACGATTTGTTGGAATAAAATGTTTCACAATATAATAAGACACATCTCCTAACCAGTCCTCCATTCATGTTATATTTGAGCCAACTTTTAAGGCAAAAGTCCCAAATGAAAAACCTGCTAAATTATTTGCCCCTTTATTCTTTTTTCCCTTTTATTTTTTTAAATTTTATTCCAGAATAGTTAACAATACAGGAT